GGGGGCGTCTCTTCCCATCCGAGAGCTGGTTCTGGCTCAGGGGAGCGTGTGGGGCGGGGGCGTCTCTTCCCATGCGAGAGCTGGTTCTATCTCTCGGGGGTGGGGGTGGGGGCAGGGCAGGACCTCACCTTTCTTGAGGCGATGCTGGTTCTTGCTGTTGATGACGAGGGAGCCCTCCCTGAATTCGATGCCCATGGCAAACCTGGGAAGAGTCCGGGGACAGTGCCATTACCACTGCCACGCTCAGGCCCAGGAAGTGCTGCCCACCCCGGAGACCCAGGGCTGGTTCTTGCCCTACACCAGGCTGGCCAGGAGTGGCAGGTACCCCCCCAGCCACACTGTGGCTTGAACCCACACCAGGGCTCTTTCCCCCGCCAGACGCTGGGAGCCCGTTAGCAGCCAGCGCGGAGTGTGGGGCGCAAGGTGGGGCACGGCTCTTTCCCCGCCAGATGCTGGGAGCCCGTTAGCAGCCAGCGCGGAGTGTGGGGCGCAAGGTGGGGCACGGCTCTTTCCCCGCCAGATGCTGGGAGCCCGTTAGCAGCCAGCGCGGAGTGTGGGGCGCAAGGTGGGGCACGGCTCTTTCCCCGCCAGATGCTGGGAGCCCGTTAGCAGCCAGCGCGGAGTGTGGGGCGCAAGGTGGGGCACGGCTCTTTCCCCGCCAGATGCTGGGAGCCCGTTAGCAGCCAGCGCGGAGTGTGGGGCGCAAGGTGGGGCACGGCTCTTTCCCCGCCAGATGCTGGGAGCCCGTTAGCAGCCAGCGCGGAGTGTGGGGCGCAAGGTGGGGCACGGCTCTTTCCCCGCCAGATGCTGGGAGCCCGTTAGCAGCCAGCGCGGAGTGTGGGGCGCAAGGTGGGGCACGGCTCTTTCCCCGCCAGATGCTGGGAGCCCGTTAGCAGCCAGCGCGGAGTGTGGGGCGCAAGGTGGGGCACGGCTCTTTCCCCGCCAGATGCTGGGAGCCCGTTAGCAGCCAGCGCGGAGTGTGGGGCGCAAGGTGGGGCACGGCTCTTTCCCCGCCAGATGCTGGGAGCCCGTTAGCAGCCAGCGCGGAGTGTGGGGCGCAAGGTGGGGCACGGCTCTTTCCCCGCCAGATGCTGGGAGCCCGTTAGCAGCCAGCGCGGAGTGTGGGGCGCAAGGTGGGGCACGGCTCTTTCCCCGCCAGATGCTGGGAGCCCGTTAGCAGCCAGCGCGGAGTGTGGGGCGCAAGGTGGGGCACGGCTCTTTCCCCGCCAGATGCTGGGAGCCCGTTAGCAGCCAGCGCGGAGTGTGGGGCGCAAGGTGGGGCACGGCTCTTTCCCCGCCAGATGCTGGGAGCCCGTTAGCAGCCAGCGCGGAGTGTGGGGCGCAAGGTGGGGCACGGCTCTTTCCCCGCCAGATGCTGGGAGCCCGTTAGCAGCCAGCGCGGAGTGTGGGGCGCAAGGTGGGGCACGGCTCTTTCCCCGCCAGATGCTGGGAGCCCGTTAGCAGCCAGCGCGGAGTGTGGGGCGCAAGGTGGGGCACGGCTCTTTCCCCGCCAGACGCTGGGAGCCCGTTAGCAGCTAGCACAAGGTGCACAGCACAGGTAGGTTTGTGCAATTGGCACCGGCTCCTTACCCCAGGTTCTTGGTGATCTTGTTCAGCAGCTCCGGCTTCTGCTTCTTCACCACGTCCATGACAGCGGCATAGACCTCACACAGCTTCACGCCTGAGGGAGTCTCAGCATGAGCAGCAGGCGGCCACCCACCCTCCCACGCAGGCCCCAGGGCAGGGAAAGACCCTCCAGGTGGCAGGGCCCTTCCCCAGAGCTCTCCCTGCTTACCGTGCCGCAGCTCCTTGAGCAGCTCCTCCTGCAGCTGCAGCAGGAAGGTGTAGTTCTCCTGCACCTCCTGGGGCGGGTCCACCATGAGCGTGCGCACCAGGTTGGAGCAGTAGGACTTGTAGCGGATGCCCATGGCGCAGGTGATGGCCCCGAAGTGCATGTGGTTCTTGTCACTGGGGGACACGTGGAGAGAGGCCAACATCAGGGAGGCTGGCCCTGGGACGGGGGCCGAGCCGGGAGTCCCCGGAGCTCCAAAACACCGGGCCAGGACGTACAGAACAGACTGAGTCATGCCAGCTGGCAGCACCAGCTCCCTGACCAGTCTCAGTGCTGGGTGGCCCCTAGGGACTGGCCCCAGCCCGCTCACTTGGGCGGCTCCTGCTAGTGTGGGGTGAGGGGCTGGGAGCCCCCGGCACTGACCTGACCACACTGAACTTGAGGTTGTAGTTGCCCCCACTCTGGATGATGGGGGGGTAGCACATCTCCACCGTGGAGGGGTCGGCCCCAGACAGATATTTCTTCTCCTCAATGGCCTTCTCCACTGACTCCGCCAGCTTGCTGTGCCGCACTTTCTACAGGGCGGGGGGAAGGGGGTTTTGAGAGCAGGGACAGCCAGGCAGCACCCAGGCTTCGCCAGTGGCCCCGAAGCAGCTCAGCTCCCCCCAGCCCGGATCACCCCCCAGCCATGACTCACCGCCTCTGAGCCGCCGCCCTGTGTCACCTTCCCAGCCCTCCCCCAGCTGCAGCTCAGCCCACCACACTCTGGCTCTCCCCACCCTCGCACCTCGTCGGCGTCAACAATCTCCATGACCCGCTCCTTGAAGAATTTGTTGAAGACCTCAGAGGTGATGGCAGCCGCTTTGCGCATCAGGTTCAGCTCCCCGTCCTCCTTCACTGCGATGGTGTAGGCCACGACCGCACTGATGTCTACCTGCTCCGGCCACAGAAAGGGGTGAGAGCATGAGCAGGGCAGGCAGAGCCTCCTTTGCCCTGGGTGGAAGCCCCCCAACACCACTATCCACCTGTGACGCAGAGCAGGTGGGCATGTGGAGAATAAGCAGAGCCCCCGTCGCCCTGGGTGCCAGGCCCCCAACATGGATATCTGCCTGTGAGGACGTGTGCGGGACAGACAAAGCCCCCACAGTGCTATCCGCGTGTGACGCAGGCAGAGCCCCCACACTGCTATCCGCGCGTGACGCAGGCAGAGCCCCCACACTGCTATCCGCGCGTGACGCAGGCAGAGCCCCCACACTGCTATCCGCGCGTGACGCAGGCAGAGCCCCCACACTGCTATCCGCGCGTGACGCAGGCAGAGCCCCCACACTGCTATCCGCGCGTGACGCAGGCAGAGCCCCCACACTGCTATCCGCGCGTGACGCAGGCAGAGCCCCCACACTGCTATCCGCGCGTGACGCAGGCAGAGCCCCCACACTGCTATCCGCGCGTGACGCAGGCAGAGCCCCCACACTGCTATCCGCGCGTGACGCAGGCAGAGCCCCCACACTGCTATCCGCGCGTGACGCAGGCAGAGCCCCCACACTGCTATCCGCGCGTGACGCAGGCAGAGCCCCCACACTGCTATCCGCGCGTGACGCAGGCAGAGCCCCCACACTGCTATCCGCGCGTGACGCAGGCAGAGCCCCCACACTGCTATCCGCGCGTGACGCAGGCAGAGCCCCCACACTGCTATCCGCGCGTGACGCAGGCAGAGCCCCCACACTGCTATCCGCGCGTGACGCAGGCAGAGCCCCCACACTGCTATCCGCGCGTGACGCAGGCAGAGCCCCCACACTGCTATCCGCGCGTGACGCAGGCAGAGCCCCCACACTGCTATCCGCGCGTGACGCAGGCAGAGCCCCCACACTGCTATCCGCGCGTGACGCAGGCAGAGCCCCCACACTGCTATCCGCGCGTGACGCAGGCAGAGCCCCCACACTGCTATCCGCGCGTGACGCAGGCAGAGCCCCCACACTGCTATCCGCGCGTGACGCAGGCAGAGCCCCCACACTGCTATCCGCGCGTGACGCAGGCAGAGCCCCCACACTGCTATCCGCGCGTGACGCAGGCAGAGCCCCCACACTGCTATCCGCGCGTGACGCAGGCAGAGCCCCCACACTGCTATCCGCGCGTGACGCAGGCAGAGCCCCCACACTGCTATCCGCGCGTGACGCAGGCAGAGCCCCCACACTGCTATCCGCGCGTGACGCAGGCACAGAGCCCTCACACTGCTATCCATGTGTGACGCAGGCAGAGCCCCCACACTGCTATCCGCGCGTGACGCAGGCAGAGCCCCCACACTGCTATCCGCGCGTGACGCAGGCAGAGCCCCCACACTGCTATCCGCGCGTGACGCAGGCAGAGCCCCCACACTGCTATCCGCGCGTGACGCAGGCAGAGCCCCCACACTGCTATCCGCGCGTGACGCAGGCAGAGCCCCCACACTGCTATCCGCGCGTGACGCAGGCAGAGCCCCCACACTGCTATCCGCGCGTGACGCAGGCAGAGCCCCCACACTGCTATCCGCGCGTGACGCAGGCAGAGCCCCCACACTGCTATCCGCGCGTGACGCAGGCAGAGCCCCCACACTGCTATCCGCGCGTGACGCAGGCAGAGCCCCCACACTGCTATCCGCGCGTGACGCAGGCAGAGCCCCCACACTGCTATCCGCGCGTGACGCAGGCAGAGCCCCCACACTGCTATCCGCGCGTGACGCAGGCAGAGCCCCCACACTGCTATCCGCGCGTGACGCAGGCAGAGCCCCCACACTGCTATCCGCGCGTGACGCAGGCAGAGCCCCCACACTGCTATCCGCGCGTGACGCAGGCAGAGCCCCCACACTGCTATCCGCGCGTGACGCAGGCAGAGCCCCCACACTGCTATCCGCGCGTGACGCAGGCAGAGCCCCCACACTGCTATCCGCGCGTGACGCAGGCAGAGCCCCCACACTGCTATCCGCGTGTGACGCAGGGCAGGAAGGCACATGAAGGGCAGGCAGAGCCCCCGCGCTGCTATCTGCCCGTGACGCGGAGGGGGCAGCTCCAGAGGTGGGGGAAGGGAGGGGACCGTGAGCAGTCCCCCCTCGCCCCAGCTCACCTTCTCAAAGCCCTCCTTGCTGAGGCAGTCGTTCCAGCTCTTCATGAACTCCCCAGGGAACTTGTCCTTGCTGAAGACCCCGATACGCTTCCCATTCTTGCTGCCCTTCAGTGCCTCGATCATCTTCTCAAAGTTCCCCTTGTTGCTCTCATTCTGGAGGGGGGAAGGGACAAGGCTAGCCCAAGGAACTGGGGGGGGGGGCGGCCCTTAGGCCAGGGGCAGAACCCATTTGCTACCCCCAGCCATTCACTCTGCTGCCCCAATGCATGACTCTCATCAGCTCTCCCTTCATCCCAGCCCACTTTCAACTCGCTCTCAGACCAGCATGTGCAGCCTCCCCGACTCCCTACAGGCTCAAGCTTAGCTTAACCCTCCAGGATGCTGCAGAAAACTCTCAGCCTTCCCCAGCCTGAAGTGTGAATCTTCAGCCCTCAACCCTCTTCCTAGCCAGGGACAGGAGCCCCACCCCACATGGCCCCAGCTGTGCAGCGTAGCCCAACACACTTGCCTTTTCCCGCACAAGCAGCGTGATGGCCGGCACACCATTGGCGTTCTCGCTGCCCTTGCTGTTGGCGATCTGCTTCAGGAACTCCACTTTCTTCTTGCTGGCCATGAACAGGATCTTGTCCTCGCAGAAAACCATGATGGTGTCAGTGAGTTCGTAGCCGAAGAGCCATGTCTGGGGGAAGCCAGGGAGGCAAGTTGACACGTCTCCCCTCCCCGTGGCGCCCTGCAGACACCGCGCCAGCGCAACCCCCCCTCCTCTCCCTGTGGTGCCCTGCAGACACCCCGCCAG